TCAAAATGTTACAATATTTATCATAATGAAGGAAACGCGCGGCGGCCTAAACAAATGAGGTTGTCAACCGCAGGTGCGTTCCTTACGTGCGCGAGTTTACTCAGCGTTTACAAGCCGTGTTTCTTATACCTGTAGACTTATTTTCACGTAATTGACTACCAAGTTTATTCGCATTGAAGCCTGTCAATTATAATGTAACAATAAGTTTTTAGTATCTGTATAGTTAATATATAGATATTTTAGATTAATAATAGTATTAATACAATAATAAATCAGATAATAGTAATAATCATAAAAGGAATAAAAAAATCTAATTTTGTTATCAAGGACGTTTATGTTTCTTTATAACATATTAAATGCGTTAGTCCTGACGTAAGCATTATATGGGCAATAGCACAAGTCAGTTACATGTGCTGGTAGAACATGACTTGAATATTTCGCATGGTCCTACAAGCTATTCCGTGCAGCAGCGGGCGAGAGCGCCACTAAATTTTGGTTGCCAATTTTCGGTTGGCAAGGCACTCTGGTTGATGTTTAGCCCCGTCCGTTAATCAGCTGAGTGGGCAGGTGCAGTTGGCTTAGATCCCAGTTGTCCGATATTTTCAAGAGTTATAACCCTTGTAGTATACCAGATTTGCGATGTTAACATACTTATATTGTTACAGTTAATAGAGACAACCTCAAAGTTCTTGATACTTGTGGCTTATAGAATACTTCAGAAGGAAAAACATTCACGTCTAAATTAAACTTAATACGATGAAGCACTTGTGGGCGACGATTACAATGTCTGTCATAAAGAGAAAAATTAGATAAAAATAAATACTAAATTAATATTAAGAATGTACGCTTACTTTTGACTTTATAAAATAGAGTTGAGATAAGTTAGGTTAGAGCGGGGGCACGTTGAGTAAAAGCGTGCATTCGGTTGCTTAGACTCCAGACAAATGGGGACGTCAGCCTCAGCGTCGCTTGTTGACGAGCGAAAATTGCTTTGATTCTCTGACAAATCCTCGAGAGGAACAATTGCTATCGCATTTACTACAGAGAGATCACATTGCACGTGATGTTCAAAAGCGCTTCATTACTTGAGACAGAACTATGAACAATGTTATATGAACAATGAACATGCACATAAACAGTAATATTTATTATTTTATTTTGTTGTTTTATTTATTTAAAATCAATCTTATTTTTAAAGTGTTTCACAGTACAAAATAATTGTTTTTGATAACATTTTAAATATGTAAATTGCAAACAAAATAATTTTGGCTTTTTAAGCATTACACAAACTTAGATGTACGTAAAAGAAGCAAAATATACTTGTCATTAATAGCTATAGAAGTATATGTAGGTGTAATCCCTTAATCACATAAAATTATTTTTTTTCTTAAATTAATTGAAAAAATCATATCTTCCTACGCAGATAATGAATTAAAATATTAAAATAGTCCCAATGTACATCTATAAGTTACTTATGCAATAAAGTATGAATAAAAAGACTTACGTAAGTATAAGAGGGTGTCAAGGAAAACCAAATTTGCTTATTCATTTAATATCATTTTAATTATCTCTATTTAAACAGCTGGGCAAAACACAATCCGCAAGTTTTTAATGTACAAACTAGCAAAAACAGGTAAAGCGGTATTTGGATAGACACTTAAGTCGACTTAAACTTACATTTAATTTTAGTTTACTTAAGCTTATCTTCAGGCACAAGTATTGCCGGGGCTTCCAGTTTCGATAAAGTTATACAGGTGAATAGATAGGTACAAATCAGGCCGTGGAAATCGATTGTTATTTACCGACTCAGAAACAGCA